GCAGGTCGAGGCTGTGGTGGCCGGGAGTGGCCACTGCACTCCAGTCTGGGTGACAGAGTGAGACTCCAACTCATAAAAAAAAAAAGTATAAAAATTTAACATATATGATTTAGTTATTCTTAGGAAATAACTTTACAATTGCAAGAGGTGTATTCCCCTTTCAATTAACTCCTGGCGTGCACCTATAGTTCCAGCTACCTGGAAGGCTGAAGCAGAAGGATCATCTGAACCCAGCAGGTTGAGGCTGTGGTGGCCGTGAGGGTGCCACTGCATTCCAGCCTGGGCGACAGAGTGAGACTCAGCTCAAAAAGTAAAATCAATTAATTCTTTAAAGAAAATTTTGCTAGGCGCAGTAGCTCAAGCCTGTAATCCTAGCATTTTGGGAGGCCAAGTTGAGAGAACTGCCGGAGCCCGGGGGTTCGAGACTGGCCTGGGTAACTTGGTGAGACCTCGTCTCTACAATAAAAATCTAAAAGCTAGCTGGGTGTGGCAGCAAGCGCCTGTAGTTCCAGCTACTTGAAAGGCTGAGGTGGAAGGATCACCTGAGGCCAGCAAGTCGAGGCTATGGTGGCCGTGAGTGTGCTACTGCACTCTAGTCTGGGCAACAGTGAAGACTCCAACTCAAAAACACAAAAAAAGTGTGTTTCAAGTAGCACACATAAGACAAAAGGAGAAAATTCGTTGCTCTTTCAGGATTACAGGAGGGGGAAGCCCCCAAACCCAGAATTATCTTTTGGCGGGCGGCCCCTGTAGTACAGCCTCCCCCTACTAGCTCAGCGTGCTAGGAACCCACTGGCATCAGAGTCCCAGCTAGAGTTCTTGTGAGAGGCTGCATGCGGCTGTAGAGAATATCTCTCAGAGTGTTTGACCATTTCGCGATGGGTGACGTATGAGCACACCTGCCCACACCATGCTGAGAGTTTGCCAGTTTTTGACCAAAGATGGCATGACCCCCATACCTCACTCTCCTTATTCACCCGATCTCTCCCTGAGTGACCTTTTGGTTTCCCAGGATGAAAAAAGTCCTCAAAGGGAAACATTTTGCTGATTTGGAAGAGGTGAAAAATGACCAGAAGCACTAAAAGGCATCAAAATTGATGAGTCTAAAAACTGTTTGGAGCAGTGGAAAAGCATCTCAATAGGTGTATTTCATCGAATGGAGAGTACTTACAAGGTGACTGAAGTTTAAACATGTGAGAATAAATACAAAACTTTTTATAAATAAATTCTGGGGTTTTTTGGGTGCCGCCTTCATATATATATAGGTACTTGTGCCTGATAAAATTTCCAGGGCAGCTTCATAACAAATTCAAAACCCAGTAAAGTTCAGACAGCACAGAGGTAAAGATGTTGTGGCCTTAAAAACTGTCAAATGATTCGAAAAGCAGTTCTAGCAAAGGTGGAGCTACTGACGTCAGAGACATGTAAAATGTAGTAAAATTGTTTTATAAAATGTGAAAGTGGAATAAATAAGCAATATTTCTAATTAATATTTTATATAGTTTATAGGCTGGGTGCAACGGCTCAAGTCTGTAATCCAGCACTCTGGGAGGACAGGCAGGAGGACTGCTTGAGTCAAGGAGTTCGAGACCAGCCTGGACAACATAGCAAGACCCCATCTCTACAAAAAATTAAAAAATATATTAGACAGGTGTGGTGGTTGCACCTGTAGTTCCAGCTACTCGAGAGGACTGCCTGAACTCAGGCTGCAGTGAACCATGCCATGCCATTGCACTCCGACCTGGGTGAGAGTAAGGCTCTGGCTCAAAATAAGTAAACAAATAAATATACAGTAAGTCCCCTACGTACAAATGAGTTCCATTCCAAGAGTATGTTTTTAAGTCCAATTTGTTCTCAAGTCCAACAAAGTTAGCCCAGGTCCCCATCTAACACAATCAGCTACCTAGTACGAGCTATATTTGACGCTTGCTTCCAGACATCTTAGGCTTGAAATAAAGATACTGGACTCCTGTATTCTATGCAGCACTGTAAAGTATATCAAAGCACAACCACTTGTAGATGATACATACTCGTGACAATGTATGCCAGATAACGTATGACAGTCACTGGGCATGTGAATGCACATTCGCATCTTTGAAAGTTCATATCTTGAAAGTTTGTATGTAGGGGACTTGCTGTAGTTTATAAAGTATAGTTTCAAATATAGACATGTAACTTAATTAACACAAAATTAAAACTAAACAGTGACCTAGAGTATTTGCATCTATACAAGCACATATATTCAAATTGGCCCCCTTCAAACTATTGCATAAACTATTTTGTTTCCCTGTTATCTCCACATACTGCTATTATCTTTAGGGAGAATAACCTGATATGCACCTGGTCTTTAACAACCTTGAAAACTTATTATAGTACCATTTTCTCAGTATTTCTTGTACATCACTTAATATCAAGGAAGCCAATGAACTTACATGTTGGTCTTTCAATTCCCCCTGACATCCGTAACAAAATCTGAAAAAAAAAGTTTAAAAATACTTTTTTAGAATTCACTCACTAAAATAGTTGAGCAAGAATATCAATAACTAGAATCCTTTAATTAATAAGTAACTGTCTTTGCACATGACTTTTAAGAGAAAAAGTTAAGAATACCAATAATTCTTTAAAAATTCTACAATATGGGCCAGGCGCAGTGGCTCACACCTGTAATCCCAGCACTTTGGGAGGCAGAGGCATGAAGATTGCTTGAGTTCAGGAGTTCAAAACCATCCTGGGCAAGTAGCAAACCATGTCTCTACTGAAACAAAATCAAAAAATTAGCTGAGCATCGTGGTGTATGCCAGTAGTCCCAGCAAATGGGAATGCTGAGGTAGAAGAAACACCTGAGCTCAGCAGGTCAAAGTTACCATGAGCCAGGATTGTTGTGATCATGCCCCTGCACTCCAATCTGAGCAACAAAGTGAGACACCCAACTCTAAAAAATAAAGTTAAAATTAAAAAATTCCACAATATGTACTAAGGTTATCCAACAGCTCAGAATTTAGTTGCTTTTTTTTTTTGAGTTGGGATCTCACTGTCCCCCAGGTCGGAGTACAGTGGCATATTCACGGCTCACTGAAGCTTCAACCTCCTGGGATCAGGCACTCCTTCAACCTCAGCATCTCAAGTTGCTGGAACTATAGGCATGTGCCAATAGGCCCAGCTAATTTTTTAATTTTTTGTAGAGATGAGGTCTTGCTATGTTGCCCAGGCTGGTCTTGAACTCCTGAGCTCCATCAATCCTCCCACCTTGGCCTTCCAAAGTGCTGGGATTACAGGTGTGAGCCACCATGCCCAGCTAAATATGAATACGTTTTTATTTGTCTGTTTGTTTGTTTGAGTGGGAGTCTCACTCAGTCGCCCAGGTTGGAGCACAATAGCACGTTCATGGCCACTGTAGCCTCGACCCGCTGGGCTCAAGTGATCCTTCTGCCTCAGCCTTCCAAGTAGCTGGGATCATAGGTACACGCCACCACACATGGCTAATTTTTTGATTTATTGTAGAGATGAGGTCTTGCCAAGGTGCCCAGGCTGGTCTCAAAGTTGTGGTCTCAGGCAATCCCCTCACCTCAGCCTCCCACAGTGCTGGGATTACAGGTGTGAGCCACCACACCCTCCCACACATGTTTTTTTAAACTGAGATTCTGTGACAGAATTAAAGTCTACAGCAAATAATTTGAGTTACCACTTTTTCAATTCTCCCCAAAATGGCAGACATCTGGTACAATTCTAGATGGACAGGACAGAGCTTAAATTACTCCAGACAAAGGATGCCTAAAAGTTTAGTTTTCAAGGGATCATTTAAAGAGCTACAAGTTCTCAGAACTTACCACAAAAAATCACGCTTTCCTGCCTACGCTCCTCCACTCCATGTCCAGTGAGTCCCCAGAAGCAGGGTCGACACTTTTAACTGTCCGCCCGTTACGCTAACAAGTGCTACCATTCTGACCTTCTCCAAACTGGACTGACTGTTCTCCATGTCTGACACACGGGTATCTTTCTGTGGTCTCTCCTCATCATCCTAGGACTTTCCTTAGCCTGTTTTGAACTAGATGCATATTCCTAGATCCCAGGTCATTCTCCTTCTCAGTTCCTTCAAACTGCCCACCTCTCTTTCAGAGCTTCCCCAGAAAATCTCTTGAAGAGACCTTACACGCCCGGAGATGTTTTTATTCTACTCACACTTAATTGATAGCTTGGCTGGATAGATAATTGAAGTTGGTAATAATTCTCACCCTAAACCTTCAAAGTGATTGCTCCTTGTCTGCATCCCGTGTGGCTGATGAGGAACCAAACAATCTTAATTCCAGATCCTTTGCATGTGACCTAATTTTCCCTCTCCAGAAACGTTTAGGGTATTTTGCTGCGCATTCTGAAATGTCACATTTATGTATGTTTATGTGAGTCCGGTTTTCTTCAATGTTTGGCACTTGACAGTCCCTTTCAATCGAAAAAATTTTGTCCTTCAATTATAGAAAATTTCCTTGAAGTATTTATTTGACAATTTGCTACTCTACATTTTGTTTTTTTTAATTGGAGTCTCACTCCGTCGCCCAGGCTGGAGTGCAGCGGCATGCTCACGGCCACTGTAGTCTTGACCTGCTGGGCTCAGGTGATCCTTCTGTCTCAGCCTTCCAAGTAGCTGGAACCACAGGCATGTGCCACTAAGCTACTCTGCATTTTATCTTTTTTCTTTCTCATATTTTTCTGATATGGGACCTTCTGGATAAATCCACCTATCTAGTACCTCTTTATTTTGTACCTTTTATTGTACTTTCTGAAATATTTATTCCACTGTATTTACCAGTCCAACTATAATACTGAGTTTTTCATTTCTACTATATTTCATCTCAACCATAAGTAAATAAATACAAGCTAAAATAATAAGATATTTTTTACTTGTCAGCTTTGGCCATTATCAAAAATTTCACAATACCTAATGATGGCTAAGTGTGGGAAAAAAATAAATGAAAGCTCTTTGAAGGACAACTTTACAATATCTATCAAAATTCACAAAACATTCCTAACTTGAGACTCAGCAATTTCACCTCTAAGAATTTACTATGGATTTGTATGTGCACAAACGTTCAAAGATATAAATATGAGCATTATTTGTTAATAGAAAAGAAATAATCATGAATATTTAACTGGAGGTATTAACTATATAAACCATGATATATCTAGGAAATATATATAGCACGGTGGTTCACGCCTGTAATCCCAGCACTTTGGGAGGCCGAGCCAAGAGGACTGCTTAAGCCCAGGGGTTCAAGACCAGCCTGGGCAAAATGGTGAGACCTTGTCTCTACAATAAATCAAAAAATTAGCCAGGCATGGAAGCGCACGCCTGTAGTTCCAGTTACTTGGAAGGCTGAGGTGGAAGGACTGCCTGAGCACAGCAGGTTGAGGCTTGCAGTAGCTGTGAGCGTGCCACTGCACTCCAGTGTGGGCAACACAGTGAGATTCCAACTCAAAAAAAAAGCAACAATTTCAAAAACAAGATGATTGATCTAGATATTCTAAAATGAAACTACTTTCAAAGATTTATTTATTTGTTTTTTAGAGTCGGGCCTTACTCTGTTGCCAGGCTGGAGTGCAGTGGTGTACTAACGGCTCACCGCAGTCTGCACCTCCGGGGTTCAGGCAATCCTTCTGCCTCAGCCTCTTGAGTAGCTGGGATTATATGGACATACCACCATGCTCAGCTAATTTTTAAATTTTTTTGTAGAGACATGGTCTCGCTATGCTGCCTAGGGTGACATCAAGCAATCCTCCCACTTCAGCCTTTCAAAGCGCTGGGATTACAGGTGTGAGCCACCATACCTGACCCCAGATGATTTTTTAAGTGTGAAAAGAAAAGGGATGAATGGAGAAATAATTGTCTGCTGGTCAGTAAGTGTTTAATGTGGCTCCTAAATCTTGGATGTTCTTAAAAGTAGTATATCTTTATTTTCGGAAAACTATTCTATAGAGGGTTGACAACCTCTACTTCAGACTTCACTAGAGAGATTTTACTTTAATAGCACTAGTAAAAATACATACAGGTTTCAGATTAATTATGCCGGCCTCTTATGTTTAGTAGTGTGCTAGGGATTGATGATACTGCCTCAAGAGGATCAATCATTAAATATGTACTGTTCGGGAATTTGAGAGCTGGCTGTTAATTGATAGCTAAAATTGGTCATGTGTATTTAAGTCACAGAAATCAGCACATACTACCAATCAGGGCTTTTTGTCCTTTAGGAGAGCTGATTTACTAGGATACCATCATTCTTATTATGCATAGGTGGGTTTAGGGAAATTGATACATTTCTGGAGATTCAGATCTATTTAATAGTGAGTCATTGCAATCATAACCAAGGCATTCTTCATCTTAGTTTTCTTATTAGAAATACTCTTGGCTGGGCTCGGAGGCTCAGCCTGTAATCCCACGCCTTTGGGAGGCTGAGGTGAGTGGATTGCCTGAGCCCGTGGGTTCGAGGCCCGCCTGGGCAGCGGGACCTCATCTCTACAATAAATCAAAAAATCAGTCGGGTGTGGTAGCACATGCCTGTAATTCCGGCTACTTGGAAGGCTGAGGCGGAAGGATCGCCGGAGCCCAGCAGGTCGAGGCTGCGGTGGCCGGGAGCGGCCACTGCACTCCAGTCTGGGCGACAGAGTGAGACTCCAACTCAAAAAAAAAAAAAAAAAGAAATACTCTTACCCAAGTTAATATGACTATCTTTTTTAAGGTAGTAACAACAGCCTATTCAAATATTAGCTTACCACTTATTACAGATGTAAGTTAATCAAAACTCATATACCTTTCTCCATTATATTCTTCTAAGGGAATTTCTTGGAATGGATCCAAAGGAAATAAATGATGATAAGACCGGGCCAAATGGGGAGCAGACACCAAAGTAAGACCTATACATAAAGCAGAGAGATATGTTTAATACCAAAACCTCATAAAGACAATGGCTGAAAAGCCAAAAGATACAACTTAGGCTAAATATTTTCAAGTTCTTTTAGGATGGCAGGTAATCGTTACTTCAGTTTACCTGCGGCCATAAAAGGAAATTCCAGGATGGAGCCTTAGTTCTGTCACTAATTATATGCCTGACCTCTCTTGGTCTACTTGCTTACTTATAAATGAAACAAAATTGTACAATTCTATGACTTTAATTCCTCACTCTACTTATATATATATGTTCTTTATAAGTAAGAGATTTAAAAAAGTCTTCTAGATCTATTGCATTGCCTTTAAAGAATACATTTTTTCCAGAAGAAGATCAGGAAATTCTAGAATGCCATGTTTATACTTGGAAGTAGGGTGCTAAGCACTCAATGAAAAAACTAATTCACTTGGCACAGATTAAATCCAGAAACATAGGCAAAACTCAACATTTACATTTATCTCAGCAGCAATATAGTTCAGCAGTTATTCAAGATTAGTTTACTGAATAAAGAACAGTTGGTTTCTTACCACAGATTTTACATTCAACTGGCAGCTCACAGTACTTTGCCCGACACTGTGGGCAAAAATAGCCTCCTAATGTGAGCCCTGGCTCGCTGTTGCTATCCAAATGCCTACAGGGGGAAAACAGTGATTAAAAACCTGTTTAAAAGTCTATTTTAAAATCTGTAAGTATGTTACATATAGCTCATTTATGCGATGTCCATTATTTCCACTCTTCATTTTTATTCTAAAGTTTCCATTACTGTCTTTGAACTCACAGATCTCTTCTTCCACCATGATTAATCTACTGCTAACCCCAGCCAATGTATTCTCTATTTCCTGAACATGTATGTATACTTATGATTGCTGTCTTAACATCTTTGCCTACTAATTCTATCAACTGTGTTATTTCTAAGTATTATTTCTATGCTATAATTTTCCTCTTTGTTATGGGTCATATTTTCCTTTGCATCTTTGATTGGCTGCCAGACATTGTGAACTTTGTTTTGGGTGCGGGATTTCTTCTGATGTCCCTTAACTTTTAGGCTTTGTTCTGGAATATCCTTAAGTAACTTGGAAATAGTTTGATTGGTTCAAAACTTGCTTTTAAGCTTTGTTAGGCTGATTCAAAACAGTCATTAGTCTAGGATTAATTTAGCTCCACTACTGTGAACTCTATTCAATGCCAGTGAGAACATGAGCCTGCCCTGTGTGAGTTCTGGGAATTGTTGTCTGCTGTTTTCTAGTGGTTCTTTTCCTGACTTCCAGTAGTTTCTTCACATGAACGTGCTGATCAATACACAGCTGATGACTTATAGGAAAGTCTCTGCAGATCTCCACCCGCTGGGCTCCGGCGATCCTTCCGCCTCAGCCTTCCAAGTAGCTGGAACTACAGGCGCGCGCTACCACACCCTGCTCTCTGTGCAGCTCTTTCCTTCCTGGTACTCTGATCTGCAAAATTATAGTCATCTCAGCCTCCCTGAATGTTGAACTTTGTTTCTCTAATTCAGGAACACCCTTAGGCTCTGTATTGTGGCCTGGAAATTCTGTCTAAGTAGTAAGTTGGAGCACTCAAGACTCACCTCATTTGTGGGTCCCTTCTTTCAGGGACCATTATCTACACTGCCTGTTGTGCAGTGTCTGAAAACGATTGTATTATATATTTTGTCTGTTTTTTCTGGCAGCAGGGTAAATCTAGTCCCTGTCACACCTTTTAAGCTAGAGACAGAAGTCTTGTTTGTAATTTTTAAAAATTATCTTCTTGAATTTAATTTCATCTTATAATTCTGTAAGATATAAAGCTCTAAAGTTAAAGTACAGTCATGTGCTGTATGACATTTCAATGATGGATCACATATATGACAGCGGTTCCATAAGATTATAATACCGTACTTGTACTGTACCTTTTCTATGTTAAAATTTTTTTTTTAAGGGAGATGGGGCCTCACTGTCACTCAGGCTGGAGAGCAGTGGCATAATCATCACTCACTGTAACTGCTAACTCCTGGACTCAGGTGATCCTCCTGCCTTAGCCGCCTGAGTCGCTAGGCTTATAGGCGTGCAGCACCATGCCCAGCTAACTTTTCTTTTTTGTATTTTTTTGGTAGAAATGAGGGTCTTGCTATATTGCCCAGGCTGGTCTCAAACACCTGAGCTCACGCAATCCTCCTGCCTCAGCCTCCCCAAAACACTGGGATTACAGGTGTGAGCCATCACACCTGATCTAAATACATTCAGATACACAAATACTGACCACTGTGTCACAACTGCCTGCAGTATTCAGTACTGTCACATGCTGCACAGGTTTGCAGCCTAGGAGTAACAGGATACACCATAGAGCCTAGGTGTGTAGCAGGCTCTACCAGCTGGCTTGCGTAAGCACACCATGGGATGTTCGCACGACATCGCCTAACATATCCCCGTCATTAAGTGGTGCATGACTGTGTGCTCACAAGTCCAGGGTCTGTCCCTTTCCCCTTCCCCACACATCCAAAAATGTTTGCTTTCTATCTCTGTTGCTATTGTTTTAATTACTGTTGTAAACAAGCATGCATCTCTACTCAATCACCGCCTTCTTCTTAGGTGATTAGTAGCATCCTACAAACTTCTAACTCACTGTTTCACTGAGTAACGTATCCTGAAGAATGCTCCATACGTATATAGAGATAGTCCTCCTTCCTTTTTACAGCTACATAAAAGGCAATCTTTAATGAAACCATCACGTTTCAAGTGCATTTTTAATTTAAAATTTAGAGGAAGGAATTAAAAATGGAAAAACATTATGACTGACAATTTCAAGGTCTTTACTTACGCCATGCTGAAAGAGGGTTTAGCATCTTGATCAGACAAAGAAGAAATGGTGTGCTGAGGAAATCCTTCATAGAAGAAATTGTATTACTTTCTTTTTCCAAGCAAAGACTAGGAACCTAAAAATGCTCCTATCAAAAAGTCAATAAAATTGTACAGAAGATCTCCTTCCTGCCTCTTAAATACGCTTATTACAATATGATGAAACTCACTGTAATTCCAAGCTACAAGTAAATAAGGAAAAGACCTGCTTATACATACAACCTGAGATTCTGAAGTTCATATCTACATTTTCTAATTAATAACAATTAGCGTTGCTTTTTAATTTTTTAATTTTTATTTTGCTTGAGTTGGTGTCTCATTGTTGCCCAGGCTGGAGTGCAGTGGTATGCTCACGGCCAGCGCAGCCTCAACCTGCTGGGCTCAGATGATCCTTCCGCCTCAGCCTTACAAGCAGCTGAACTACAGATACGCATAACCAAACCCAGTTAATTTTTTGATTTATTGTAGAGACAAGGTCTCACCAAGTTTCTCAGGCTGGTCTTGAGCCCCTGAACTCAGGCAATCCCCTCGCCTCGGCCTCCCAAAGTGCTGGGATTACAGGCTCGAGTCACTGCACCCAGCCAGCATTGCTTTTTTTTTTTTAAAAGAAAAATGTTGTTCCTCATTAGTATAGTGGGGAGAAAAAAAATTAAAGAACGAAAAAAAAAAAGAAAAATGCTGTGATTTTTACAAAGTTTACAAATGTTTATATTACATAGTTTACCCTGAACTCTATCAAACTATATATTTCTATGCTTAATTATGAAATGCTCAAATCTTTCATAAAATTTGTTTTCTACATGTAACTTTAAATTCTTTTTTTTTTTTTTGAGTTGGAGTCTCACTCCGTCACTCAGACTGGAGTGCAGTGGCCGCTCCCGGCCACTGCAGCCTCAACCCGCTGGGCTCCGGCGATCCTTCCGCCTCAGCCTTCCAAGTAGCTGGAACTACAGGCGCGCGCTACCACACCCGGCTAATTTATTTATTTATTTATTGTAGAGATGAGGTCTCACCAAGTTGCCCAGGCAGGTCTCGAACCCGCAGGCTCAGGCAATCCACTCACCTCAGCCTCCCAAGGCATGGAATCAAAGGCTGAACCACCAAGCCTTGTAACTTTAAATTCTGAAAGCATGTTCAGAAAAAGCAGAAGCCATTAGAAAAAAGATATTATGTTACATAAAAATTTTTCTTTTCTTTTTGAGTTGGAGTCTCACTCTGTTGCCCAGCCTAGAGTACAGTGGCATGCTCATGACCACCGCAGCCTCAACCTGCTGGGTTTAGGCAATCCTTCCACCTCAGCCTTCCAAGTAGCTGGGACTACAAGCATGAGCCATCACGCTTGACTAATTTTTTGATTTGTTGTAGAGATGAGGTCTTGCCAAGTTGCCCAAGCTGGTCTCGAACCTCTGGGCTCAGGCAATTCTCGTGTCTTGGCCTCCCAAAGTGCTGGGATGACAGGCTTCAGCCACTGCACCTGACCTACATAAAAATTTTAAATCTATTTGCATATCAAAAGAAATAAATAAAAGTAAAGGCAAACAACTAATTAGAAAAAATATGTGCATCAAGTAACTGAGCAAGGGTTGATATTCTTAAAGAATTCTAACAAATCAATTTGAAAAATAAATTATAAATTTAAATTATAATTTTAAAATGAACTAAGAAAATACATAAGTAAATAAAAGATTAGCCAACATAACATTTAAAATGTATTGAAGGTTTATACCAAGTGTTATTCTACATGCTTCATCTGTATTAATTCAATCCTTGCAACACACAATAAGGATACTGACATCATTTTACAGATGAGAAAACAGAGGCGAGGTCAGTCGGTAATATAATTGGCAAAAACATGGTAGAAAAGCATTCCATCTCATTCACTTTTTAAAAACGCATATTAAATAGATTCTCTTTATACTTAAAAAGGTATACTTAAAAAAAAAAGTTCCGGACACTCGGAAGGCTGAGGCGGAATGATCGCCGGAGCCCAGCAGGTCGAGGCTGCGGTGGCCGGGAGCGGCCACTGCACTCCAGTCTGGGAGACAGAGTGAGACTCCAACTCAAAAAAAAAAAAAAAAAAAAGTTATACTCTTTTTCAACAGAAAAGTAATACATTAAGCCGGGCATGGTAGTGCGTGCTTGTAGTTCCAGCTACTTGGAAGATTGAAGCGGAAGGACTGCCTGAGCTCAGCGGGTCACTGGGGTGCCTGTGAGCATGCCACTGCACTCCAGCCTGGGCGACCGAGTGAGACCCCGACACACACACAAAAAGAAAAAGTAATAAATGTTCATTATAAAATGTTTGGAAAATAAAGGAATACAAGATTTTTTTTTTTAAATGAGCCAAAACTGGCTGGGTATGCTGGCACGTGCCTATAGTCTCAGTTACTTGGGAGGCTGAGGTGGAACAGTGGCTTGAGTCCAGCAGTGGTACAGTGAGCCATGATCGTGCCTCTGCACTCCAGCCTGGGCAACAGAGTGAGATCCCAACTCAGAAAAAGAAAAAAATTCCAAAACCAATCATTCTCCCTCTGAAAAAAAATCACTTTGAGAAATTTGGTGTACTTCTCTGCAACAGCTGTCTTCATACAGTTTGTATTACACAGCTTTAATCACACAGTACAGAGGATTTTTGTAGCTTATTTTTAAAATTTCTTAATTCAAATATTTATCTACAAAACCAGTGTATTTATACCTAATGTTAACAATAAAGAAAGTCTGTAGTGTTGTTGGGGTAACAAGACTACCAGAAGTCTTAATTTTTTTTTAACTTTTCTATTTTCCAAAATTGCTTCAACAAGAATATTTTTTCTAATTATAAAACATTTAAGCCAGGTGCACTGGCTCACCCCATAATACCAGCACTTTTGAGCCTAGGAGTTCAAGGAGAGCCTGGACAACATAGCAAGACCTCAAGGACAGCCTGGGCAATGTAGCAGGACCTCATCTCTACAAAAGATTTAAAAAAAAATCAGGCACTCTCTTTGGGTCCCCTCCCACTGTGGAAGTTTCTCTGTTCTCTCAATAAATCCTGCTTTCTCACTTTAAAAAAATAAAATAAAATCAGCCAGGTGTGGCGCATGCACCTGTAGTCCTAGCTCCTTAGGAGGCTGAGACGGAAGGATCGCCTGAGACCAGAAGGCCGAGGATGTGGTGAGCTGTAATCATACCACTGCACTCCAGCCTGGGTGACAGAGTGAGGCTCTGACTCAAAAAAATTTAGGCTTAAAAAAATTCTTAAATGTTAAAATAACTTGTACAAATGAAAACATAGAGCCTAATTTGAGACAAAAAATGCTTTGTTTTGTTTTTTTGAGTCAAAGTCTGACTCTGTCATCCAGGTTGGAGTGCAGTGGCACGCTCACAGCTACTGCAGCCTCAACCTGCTGGGCTCAGGCAATCCTTCTGCCTCAGCCTTCCAAGTAGTTGGAACTACAGGCACGCGCCACCATGACTGGCTACTTTTTTATTTATTGTAGAGATGAGGTCTCACCATGTTGCCCAGGCTGGTCTCGAAACCCTAGACTCAGGCAATCCTCTCGCCTTCACCTTCCAAAGTGCTGGGATTACAGGTATGAGTTACCATGCATGGTTCAAAACATATATTTATTAAAAACATAAAAAATCACTTACCCATACGAATAAGTGAGCATTCAGAACTTGAGGTCGCAGGAGGAGGACTAACATGATGTGTTAGCAATTCTTTGTAATGGCTTTCATCCAAAATAACATGGTATGTGCCTAACAAGAAGTTAAAAAAAAAAAATCAGTTTTTCAGACCTAAGAACAAAGCACAGCTTCTATGTAATCCTGTAAAAGTTGTATCAACTGAAAATGCAATTTTCAAAACAATGATTTTAGCTAAACTGTTTTTTAAAACCTATTTAAGTAATATCTCAAAATCAGCTTCTCTAGGAATAACTGTAATTACAATTAAAACATAAGTTATAGGCCAGGTGCAGTGGTTCACACCTACAACCAGCAGTTTGGGAGGTCGAGGCGAGAGAACTGCCTGAGCCCAGGGGTTCGAGACTAGCAAGGGTAACTTGGCAAGACTTCGTCTCTACAATAAATCAAAAAATTAGCTGGGTATGGTGGCACACGCCTGTGGTTTCAGCTACTTGGAAGGCTGAGGTGGAAGGATCGCCTGAGCCCAGGAAGTTGAGGCTGCAGTGGCCGTGAGCGTGCCACTGCACTCCAGCCTGGGCGACTGTGAGACTCCAACTCAAAAAAACAAAAACAACAAAAAAAGAAAAAACCACAAGTTATAAAATCCTTACAAAGTACTATATAGAGTGAAATTTCTAGCTTTCCAAGAGTTATAATACTTTTTCTAAACACAGACATAACTACTGAAATTCCATGCATTTTGAGATGATTTCTTATAGAATCAGCAATATATTTAAGATGACTGCCCATAATTTGGACTACCAGATATCGACCAATTCAAGTTAAGTAGCTTAAAACATATTAAAACATCTTCAATTAATTATTTATTACACAGTATTTATGATAAATATTGAAGAGTTTAGATACATACCACCCGTTTCACGAGCAAGTACGGTGCAAACCCGAACCTCTGCAGATAACCCAATGACAGACACCCTAACTTTAGCTGCCTTTAGAGTCTTCGTAACATCCAAGATAATGGGCAATTTTAGGGAAAGAAGAAAATAATAATTACTGTCTTTGAAAATAAAGAATGTCCTGAAAACTAGTGATAAAGTCACTGCATCTACAACAATCTATAACAAGGATGAACCATAAACATAAATTCACTACACAATACTCTTTAGAGCTTTAACTTTGGTTTTGATTTATTGGTTCTACCTTGATTAGATCATAAATATTAGATGGATCACAGGTTGTAAGGCTGCTAAAGATGATTAGAACTTCTCTACTTGTATGTCCAGGCATGTGTCTAAAAAAAGATAAAATATACTCCAGTTAGGTAACACAAATTATACTAGCAAAAAATTTACCCAGAAAGAATAGTACACACAGGTTTACACATTTAGACCATAAAATATCTCATCTGTTTCAACATTGCAAGGAAAATTTGTGAGCATACTTTACATGCTTTAATATTAATTTTTCTAAAATTAGTTATATACTTTTTTAAAAATATAAATTGGTTCATTTAATACATATGTATTCAGTATTCTCTTAAGTTCTGGGGATGGAGTGATAAGACCAACAAAGTAAGCTGGGTTCGGTGGCTCAGCCTGCAATCCCGCACCTTGGAAGGCTGAGGTGAGTGGATTGCCTGAGCCCGCGGGTTGGAGACCCGCCTGGGCAACTTGGTGAGCCCTCATCTCTACAATAAATCAAAAAATTAGCCGGGCGTGGTAGCACGCGCCTGTAGTTCCAGCTACTTGGAAGGCTGAGGCGGAAGGATTGCAGGAGCCCAGCAGGTCGAGGGTGTGGTGGCCAGGAGCAGCCACTGCACTCCAGTCTGGGTGACGGAGTGAGACTCCAACTCAAAAAAAAAAGACCAACAAAGTTCCTGAAACCACGAAGCTTACATTCTAGTAGGTTTGTTTCATACAAAGATTAAAGTATACATTGAGAAATATGACAATACCATATGGATCAATTTTAAAGGGTATAGATACGGCTTAACAACGGCAACATACTTCTTTCTCAAAGACCATAAAGTAGTCCCCCTTATCTGCAGAAAATACATTCTAAGACACCCAGAGGATACATGAAACCACAGATCATACTGAGCCCTGTAGAGTCATCCCTCCAGATCCCTGCGAGATTGGATTCAGGACCTCCTGAGGATACCCATATCCACAGATGCTCAAGTCCCAAATATAAAATGCTGAAGTATTTCATACAACCTATGTACACCCTCCCATATACCTTAAGTCATCTCTAGATACTGATAATACCTAATATAATATATGCTATGTAAATAATTATCCTGTATTGGTTAAGGGATGACAAGAAAAAAAGTTGTACCAATTACAGATGCATTCTTTTCCCCAAATATTTTCAGTCTGTAACTGCTTGGATACATAGATGCAGAATTCATGGATAAAAAGGGCCAACAGTACTGTTTTTTCTATATAAGCATCCCTCAGAGATATTGCAAGGTTGGTTGTGCTATTTTAACAACCGCAATAAAGCGAACATCACAATAAAGCAAGTCACACAAAATTTTTTGGTTTCCTACTGCACAGTAAAAGTTATGTTTACATTATGCTGTGGTCTAAGTGTACAACAGCACTATGGCTACAAAAACAATGTACATACCTTAAATTACAAATACCTTCATGCTAAAAATGCCAACGACTGTCTAAGCCTTCAGCAAGTCATAATCCTTTTTGCTGGTGGAGCATCTTCCTCAAAGATAATGGCTGCTGACTAACCAGGGTGGTGGTTGCTGAAGGTGGGGGTGGCTGCGGCAATTTCTTAAAATAAGACAATGTAGTATGCTGCATCAATCAACCTTCCTTTCACGAAAGATTTCTTTGGAACATGCTATGCTGTTTGATAGCACTTGCCCACAGTAAACTTCTTTCAAAATGAGAGTCAGTTCTCTCAAACCTTGCCAGTATTTTATCAACTAAGTTCATGTAATATTCTAAATTCTTAGTTGTCATTTCAACAATGTTTACAAAGTCTTCACCAGGAGTAGAGGCCATCTCGTAAAATCACTTTCTTTGCTCACCCATTGATCCCGTTATCATGAGATGGCAGCAATTCAGTTACATCTTAAGGCTCCACTTCTAATTCCAGTTCTTTTGCTATTTCTTCCACATCTGCAACAACTTCCTCCACGAAGTCTTGACCCCTCAGTCACCCATGAGAACTGGAATCAATTTCCTCCAAATTGTTGTTAATGTCGCTATTTTGACCTCCTTCCATGAGTCATGAATGCTCTTTTTTTCCAGTCAGGGTCTCACTCTGTGGCCCAGGCTGGAGTGCAGTGGCACGATCATGGCTCACTGCAGTATCCAGCTCCTGGGCTCCAGCAGTCCTCTCGTGTCAGCCTCCTGTGTAGCAGGACTACATGCATCAGATACCACACTTTGCCACTTTCTTTTGTAGGGAGTGAGGGGAGCTAGAGACAAGGTCTTGCTATGTTGCCCCAGTCTGGTCTTGAACTCCTAGACTCAAGCAATTCAAGCAATCCTCCCGCCTCTACCTCCCAAAGTGTTAGGATTACATGTGTGAGTCCCTGCACCACGCCTCATGAATGTTATTTTTAAATTGTATTTATTTTACTGTGTTTTAAAGATATGGGGTACAATTCAGGATTAGGTAGACAAGTGGTGGACTATACAGGTAAGTTTTGGGCCTCCCTTGGGTCCCTGCTTCGCCTGGTTTGAGGTCAGGTACCCTTATTGATGTTATATGCCTCCCACCTCCCCGGCAGCATTCCACTACTGCCAAACGTTTTCTCTTTTTTTTGAGTTGGAGTCTCACTGTCACCCAGACTGGAGTGCAGTGGCCGCTCCCGGCAACCGCAGCCTCGACCTGCTGGGCTCCAGCGATCCTTCCGCCTCAGTCTTCCAAGTAGTTGGAACTACAGGCACGCCAAACCTTTTCTTACAGTGTTATGGTAAATGTTCAGGGTCTACTTATGAGTGAGAACATGTGGTATTCAGTTTTTTGTTTCTATGATAGATCACTGAGTACAATAGACTTTCAATCCAAGTTGCTGCAAAGACCATAATTTTATCCTTTTTAAAAATTATTTATTTAATTTTTTATTTTTTTATTTTTTTTGAGTTGGAGTCTCACTCTGTCGCCCAGACTGGAGTG